ACCAACCCATCTAACTAAAGGTATGAATATATGTATTATACAAATAGCTTTTATTGATAATATATTTGACTTTTTTTTATTCTTTAGTTATTTTCTTTTTATTTTTTGTTATTTTTTTCTAATAATTTCTTTATTTAGACACTCGTTTAAAATCCAGCCAGATTCTACTGCTCTATTTGCAAAAGGCGTACTAAAGGTTTCAAAAGTCAAGCAGAACTGCAAAGACATGAGACATTAAAACACATAGCATATAACACACCTCTACAGCATATTCGTTCAGTTCCAAAATCAGAACTTTTACATCTCAAAAGGGTTATAGTTAAAGAATTGCAGAAACGGCTCAAGAACCATTATACTGCAGTAGGAGAGCAAACATTCTCAATATATTGCAGTGAAGATGCATTTGTTGGTCTTTTTAAAAAACATATTACGCATTATTCTCCTTGTGGATCATTTTATTTTTGTAGTTTTAAAGGAGAAAGAGCATTTGATGAAATAGAGAGATTACTAAATGATAAAAACTGGGGGGAACGTAATTATGGAGAAGGCCAACTGAGTTTCATCTGTTTATCACTAGTCAAAAACCAATATATCGGGTAGCAGATATGTATCAGATATGTACCCGATATGTGTAGTATTAATGCAGAAAATCGGGTACCCGATATATGTAAGATATGTGTAAATATATATATCGTCTACATATCATTTACATATCATATACATATCAGTACCTGATATGTATATGATATATATATTTACACATATCTTACACATATCGGGTACCCGATTTTCTGCATTAATACTACACATATCGGGTACATATCTGATACATATCTGCTACCCGATATATTGGTTTTTGACCAGTGTTATATGTATCTGAAGAGTTTGAAAATAATAGTTATAAACAAAAAAAAAAAATCCAGATTATCAGTCAACAGAGAAATAACCGTTAAGTGGAAAGTAACAGGTGGTAAAAATAAAGAAAATCATAAATTTGAAGCAGGTTCTACTCAATTTCATTTTTTTTAGATCAATGTCAAATTTAAATTTATATGTAGAAAATTGTCAATTTTTTTTATTATTGCTTTTACATATATTTTCTGAAAGAATTTTCACATCTAGTATTAAAAGTTAATATTGTTCTGGCAGTAAAATTATTTTTTTTAAAAAAAATTGTCTATAAATTGGGCTTCAACTAAAATATTAATTACTTCTATAAGAAATTTATAAAATAATAATTATTATAAATTGTTTCATAAAATTATTCAACTTTAATAACCTTCTCTTAATGTAAAAAATACAAAATCTATTTATGAGTAAGACAAGACAATAATATAATTATTAGTGAAAATTTGATTTGCACATTATTATTATTATTATATTATAAAAGAATCAAAATGCTTTTTTACTACTTTACCAGCATTCAACTTTAGCTACTCTTATGTCAACAACAATGTGCTATTTCTAGTATTTCTAACAATATCTTTAGTCCTATAAAAATAAAGAACCCGTCTATACAAAAAAGCTAAATTTTTGAGGGTTAACAAAAAATTACAATTGATAATAAACTTTATCAATAATAGTTTATTTCAATACTAGCATTCCGTGCATATGTGCTTCATATCTCTTCATTTAAATCTCTCTTCACTGGTAAAAAAATGATTTATCCTACACATATCTTACACATATTGGGTACTTAAAATGTAGAAAATCATATACAAATAATACACATATCATACACATATCGGGTACTAATATATATATCATACATATATCTGTCTCTTATACACATCTAGATGTGTATAAGAGACAGATATATAAGTACCCGATATGTGTATGATATGTGTATTATTTGTGTATGATTTTCTACATTTTGAGTACCCGATATATGTAAAATATGTGTAGGATATGTGTAGGATAGACCATTTTTTTACCAGTGCTTTCTCTCTCTCTCTTTCACGAAAATGTTGTATTGTGCCTTTTCCATTATGTTTGCTGAGTCATAATAGTTTTGTACAGGCCGCTAGTGTTTATATTATTCCCTATCTAATTTGATCTTGTTCATTGATCCTCCTTATAAATACAATCTCCAATTTTTTGCGAATATATCTGTTTTTGAAATCAATACAATAAATAAAAAAATTTTTAATTATTAATTAACAATTCTTTTTAAAAATTTAATTTTCGTTCTAAAAATTTAAACGCTATATCTTATAAAGGATAAAATGAATTTATACGTTAGTATGATTATACCCATTTGTGACAAACTAAATTACACAACTTACCGTTACTATATATTGTATCCTGCTATAATATACTAAGCAACTCTACATTTAAATAAAAAAGAAATATTGACCATTCTTTATTATACAATCTACAAAAGTATGAGATTTAAAAAAAAATATTATTAATTTATTTAAAAAAAAACCTTCAAAAAACCTCGCATGCAAAATTGAAATTTTAGAACTATTCCTATATAAATATTTTTTTCTATATATTAACACTTTTTATTTGATTTTTAAAATGTAAACTGGATGATAAAATCTTATTTTCAATTATATGAGAGAATATACTTAATATACTTACATGAGATC